CAAGGAATCAAACAGGTATTTGCATACCATGTTCACAGTAGCATTATTCACAAAAGCCAAAAGGTGGGAGAAAACCCAAGTATCTACTGACAAATGAACGGATAAACAAACGTTGGTGTAGTCAATGGAATAATATGGTGGAGTACTGTTCAGCCTTAAAAAGGGATGCAATTCTGACACACGCTACAACATGGATGAACCTCACAGACGTTGTGTTACATGAAATAAACCAGGGACAAAAAGACAAACACTGTCTGATTCCACTTCTATGAGGTATGGAGAGTAGTCAGAAACAAATAGAATGGTGGAGCTGGAAAGGGGGGGATATGAGAGTTTTTAAAGATAAGTTTAGAGTTTCAGTTTGGCAAGATGAAAAAGGTTCTAAGATTCGGTGCACAGCAATGTGAATATGCTTAACACTGTGAATGGCACATTTAAAATGCTTAAAGTGGTAAACTTTTTATCTATTGTACACTTTACCACAATTTAAAGGCAGATAACTATTTGCAGAGGGAGAGTTGGGTTTTTTTCCCCCTCGCTCCTTGGCTATCAGATCTGCGTGGAGTATTTCTGAGCACCAGGAACCAGCTACATTCCCACATGGTTTTCCCCCCATGGTATGTTAAAAGTCTGCCTCTGAAGACACGCTAATTTCAAAATACACTTTATTCTGAAACTTTAGTTAAAAGTATTTATGCTAGGCTTTTACCTCACTTAATTAAAAACAAAAAGGCCATGTTTGATGTGTGTTAGGCTGTGTTGGAGGCCATCTTTCCTAGCCAGATGCATCCTGTAAATAAGACCAAGCTGTATTTCTTCAATATGGGTTCTTGACTGAACCAGGAACACAGATGAGTCCTTTCGCCCAAGCGAAAGCTGACCCCTCATAAAGTGTTAAATGAAGAAGGTGACTATAGAGCAGGCATGACGGTCCCCATTCTACAGCTGAGGACACTGAAGCCCAGAAAGGAAAAACGACTTGCCCCAGACTATGTCCACAGGAAAGCCACGGCTGGCTCCCTCCGAGGGCTCCCCCTCTGCCTTTTGGCCCCCTGCTGCTCTGATCCAGTGGGTGAAGGTGGAGGGAGTGCTTGCTGGCCAAGACCCAGGGTGCCTCCTCCTTCCCTGAGCCTTTGCTCCCTAGGCAACCTAAGGGATGGCCCTTTAGTTCAGTGGGGGAAAAAATAAGTCAAAGTGTAAGGTCATTGGAGGGCTTACAGGCACTGGCTCCAACTGGTCTGACCAGCCCACCCCAAGGTAAGAGCCAAGACGCTTTCAGAATTCCCAGGCACCCCATTCCCCCGGCCTGCCCCAGGCACTGGTCAGGGCTCCAAGATTTAGATAAGTCCTTATTATGGGACTTAACAACAAGTGAAATTGACGTATATTAAATTAGGCTTGGCAGTGACCCCTGGAAGAGGGGTGGGGGGCATGGGCCGGAAGGGCAGCAGCTCCTGAGTGCCTTCCCACTGTCTCTGGCTGATCAGGAGGGAGGGCCCCCCAGGTCATGCTGCCAGTCCTGCCTCTGCAAAGGGGCCAGCCAGCACCGTGGGAGTGAACACAGAGGGAACAAACCGTCAGGAGGACATCCCTGATTAGCCATCTGCTTCCCAGGGGGGCTCCGGCCAAGAGACTAGTAGAGCTGGTCAAATCCTGGTCCCTCATTCCGTTGAGTCCTGTCATTAGCCATCCATTACCTCATAGTTATCCTTCTTATTAGCCAGGAGCACGGGGTAGGGGGAGGCAGAGGCATTTGTGCAAACTGGGTACTGTCTCCCCCCTTCCTCCATCAGGCACCGTCCCATGTCCCATCCTACAGGGTCAGCCCAAGCGTCCCCTCCTCCAGGAGGCCTTCCCTGGGGTCCCCCACGCCCTGACAGGTCAGATGACCCTCCTGGAGGTTCATGGTTCTGTGCACCCCCCTCACAGCATGGATCTCTATGAGTTGCAGGTGCTCTTTATCTTGCCTGAGAGCTCAGTGGGGGCGGGGAGCAATGGGTCGCGATCAGAGGAACAGCACATACATGGTAACCATCCTAACAAACATAGTAACTGCTAGGCTCTGTGCACTGCATGCATTTCCTCTCCTGCCGCCCCTCCCTGGAGGGCACTAATGCTGCTCCATTTTACAGGAGCCAACCTGGCTTCTCATCCTTGCTGTGCTGGGCTCTATGTCTGTGTCCGTGGGCAGGTTATTTACCCTTCTGAGCCTGTCTGTCCTTGTAACCACTGCTCCACGTGGCCTCCTGCGCTGGCTTCCGGCTTTATCTCCCCGCGCAGTAAGGGGATGTCATCTCCCCTAATCCTTTGACCAGCCTCTCCTTTCCCCATGGAGAGCAGGCCACTAGCTTTGCGAGTGCTGCCACCTGGTGGCCACAGGCCGCAGGGCCATCAGTGGCGTGGCCTCCGCACAGGTTTGGCCTGCTGCAAGCTGGGCCCTCTCCTGAGCGCGCTGCCAGCCCCATGGCTGGAGCACATTCGCAGAAGGCAGGACAGCCGCACTCCAGAGAACACCACCTACAAGGCTTGGCAGCTTCACGACCAGGCCCAAGATGCCACGGAACGGGCCCAAGTGCTGGTTCTGCCACTTCTCAGCATTGACACATGGGGCTAGTTGACTAATTGCCAGGGGTCCTCAGCTTCCTCACATGTGAAACAGGTAACTGTGCCCTCCTGTGCCCCACCCATAACTTGGAGGGTCTTCCTGGAGCACCCCCTTTTCACTTCATGATCACTGAAAATGGAATTTAGGTTAAATTCATGCAAAGCAGGTATTCACTCCAAATTTGTGTTCTTTTTAAGCCAAACCTGGGGCCTTCTGAGAAAGTGGGTTTGTGCAGGCTGTGAGTCTGTTCCTCTGGCCCCTCTCGCCAGGTGCATCTTCACACCCTTCAGCTGTTCAGGGCTCTGCTACGCGCAGCTCTCATGAACCAGCTTCCTATCACGTTCTTGCACTTTGCGCGTACCTCATTGAGCCCTCGCGCAACAAACTGTCCTTATGTCACAGAGCAGAAATCAGGCTCAGAGAGGCCAGGTAATGAATATCTGAGGCCATGCACTTGCTATAAGATGGAACCGAGCCTCGCACCAGAGTCTGTGTGACCCCCACAACCCTCACCTGCTTGCCACTATAGAAAGCCCTGGACACTGTGGTTCTGTCCCTGAGTTTTCCAAGGAGCACACAACAAAGACGTTTGTTCACTGATGCACACACCTTGAGGTCCCCACACCAAAAAGAAGGGCATCCTAGCCAAGCGGGCCAAGTAGAGAGAATACAGCACTTCCTCTCTCCCTGCTCTCATTCTCCCCCCAGGAGACCGCCAACCAGTGACAAGCAGGACTTCCTGTTCTCCAGAAAACACAGCTCGGGCAGGACTTCCTCGTACAGATGAATCCCTGGCTGTTTCAGTTCTCTGAACCAATGTACTGAGGGCCCAGGGGGCCATGAGCACATCTCTTCTGCCCGCCTACTCCCCCATGCCAGTCCTGGGAGTGTGGACGGAGCCTTCCTCTCGCTGTGACATGGTCGCTGGGTGCAATGGGGAGGCAGTGCCCCGGCCCCAAGGGTGGGAAACAGACCCAGAGAGGGGTTAGGACTCACCCAAGGTCACACAGCAAGCGGTAGCAAAGCCCCAGCCCGGATTCTGCCTATTGTCCACTGCCCTGGGTTCCTGATAGGAACGCTGATATTCTGTGCGGATCCCGATGGGGACAGTCAACCTCCCCCCAACATCTGGCCTGGCTCTGTGCAGGCTGGAGCTTAGAGAGCTAGTGGAGAAGATGTCTCCAGGGAGGCAGCCTGCAGTCACTGGTTGGTCCCCCCCAGGGGTGGATACAGTCCCATCTCTGGAGGAGCTGGTTTCGGGGGGAAGCACTTGTGGTGGTGTCACCACTGGCTGGGACACACAGGGATGGATGACTGTTTCTACATTTTCTTATTTTCTTTCTTAGTTCTAGCTTAGTTAAGCAACCAACCAGAGTCTGAATGGTCAGAAGAGAGAAAGCAGACTAGGCACTGAATAGTGCCCAGAGGGTCTTAGGCACCCCCCCCTCCCCCACGTGGCCTGCTGAGATCTCAGGGGCTATGAGGGTCATCATCGAAGAAAGAGTAAGCAGTGGGTTGGATACAGTAAGGCAGATAGGGGGACCATCGGGCCGTGCTATCCACCTGGACACCTCCCAAGAGCCTGTGGGATAGCCTGAGTTTGATGGGAAAAAGAGACAGGATTACATACTGACTCATTCTGGGGCCTTGGGCCAGGTACTGCCTCTCTTAGGGCCTCCGTTACGCACTTGTAACATGGGCACCTGTCTCTTGCCTGTTTGGTGGTACAGTGAAGGCAGTATGAATACGCTCGGTCCCTTCCGGGGTGGCCAGGGCCCACAGTGCTGGGCAAACCTCTATCTCGGTCTCTTTCATGCTGCTCTGGAAGGCCAGCAGAGCCCAGCAGGGGTGGGCATAGGAGATGGCCTTTCTGCTCTCCTGCAGGAGAGCAGCCCACCACGAGCAGCCCTTACCCCCATCCGCTGAGGCCCTGGCCTTCCCGCGACATGCACTGGACTGCTCTGTAGCCCACGGCCCTCTTGGTCTCTGCTGGTCCTTCTGAAATGCTCTCTACACACTCTCCCACGTAAGGTGAGGGCTCCCCCATTGGCTCTCTGTTCAAAAAGCCTCTCCTCTCTACCACCCCACACCCCTCAACCCCCACGATTGGCAGCAGAGAAGAAGAATGGGACCAGGGACCGGTGCCCTGGACACAGCCCCCAGGGGCCCTGGGGACAGGCCACAGACACAGGCAGTGCCAAAGCCCAATGGGGAACCCCACCCCCCCGGGGCCAGCGCACGCAAGGATCCTGGGCTGGGGTTTCTCAACTGCTCAGCAGTAGGGTTGCACTTCTGCAATGGGAAGTTACACTTCCATTTCCCTTCCTACAGGGAAAAAGGAAGAACGCAGCACAACTGATGAATGTTCTGACACAGCACGTCCCCAAACCGCAGCCATAAATGCCAAGCCCAGACCTGCTCTGGCCGGCACCCAGTTGCTCCCGAGAGCTCATAGCTGCAGTGTCACAGCCAGATGTGCCCTTGGCAGTAAGGTAGGTGGGGGTCCGGGGGCCTTTTGGCCCACAGCCAGGGGAGACTGCCTGGCCGGGGGTGGGGTGGGGGGTGGGCGGGAGAGGGCTGGGAGCAGAGCCCCTGCTGGCGATGCACCAGGCACATAGCGTCTCCTGACTGTCTCCTCCCAGAGGTGGCATTGGCAGGTCTGGTTTGGCTTCCCCAGAACAGCTGGCAGGTCCTGGAGGCACAGGAGGGCCTCTCTGGGGGCTCTGCACTGCTGAGGGGTTTCTGTCAGCTCTGGGGCACTCCGCGGAGCAGAAGGTGAGGTCTCATGAGCGGCGGTGAGCCCTATTTCTGTGGGACTTTCTCAGGGTCCCTGGGATGTGAGGTGGGGTCCTAGAAGTGAACTCTGAGAGTTTGTGGCCTGGCCTGAGGACTTAGCGACCCCGCTTGGCCATCCTGGGCCCAGCTTGCGTTTTGTACCTCCAGAGGTTTCCTGCAGGTGGGGGCCCGGAGGGGCATGTAGATGGACACACATGTATGTCTGTGCTTCAGGGGAAAGGGAGGCGCCGAGGGGACTGGCTCTCACTACCAGAGCGGAAGGTCTTTGCCATGAGCCTACTGCACCCAAAATGCAGAAGGGGCAGAGGGTCCCCGGTTCATACCACCTGAGACAAGATTCTAGCCCCCTCCCCATGATTTTCATGTGTGTGGGCGTCTCTTCAATGGGCCATTTGTCACATGTGCCCCAGACACGTGTGGCCAGGCCCTGCTTGTACGGGACAATGGGACGCAAGGCAACAGGGCAGCTCAGACCACAGCCTGGGGGCCCTCGGGGACAGAGCAGGAGGAGCAGAGCCCAGGGAAGGCAGGACGAGGACCCACGCAACGCTGAGGTGTAATGAGAAGATGGCCCGGGGCACCGGGGTGGCTCAGTCGGTTAAGCATCTAACTTAGGCTCAGGTCATGATCTCACGGTTTGTGGGTTCGAGCCCCGCGTCGGGCTCTGTGCTGACAGCTAGCTCAGAGCCTGGAGCCTGCTTCGGATTCTGTGTCTCCCTCTCTTTCTGCCCCTCCCTGCTCACGCTCTGTCTCTCCCTCTCAAAAATAAATAAACATTAAAAATATTGAAAAAAGAAGAAGAGGATGAAGAAGAAGAAGAAGGAGAAGGAGAAGGAGAAGGACTGATGGTGGTGTCCGGAAAGGGTCAGAGAGCGGAGGCAGGAAAAGAGCTTCATAGAAGAGGCCACATTGGAACGGGGCTTTAAAGATGAGCGGTATTTGGGCAGGACCTGGGATGGAAGATGCCTTCTTAGCAGAGAAAATGCCATAAGCAAAAAGCCTGGTGCCAAGAAAGCATACAATGAGTTATTCAAACTCACTCATCCCCTGGTTCCCGCAAAAGCACTGGCAGGTTCTGGGCCATATGGGGGTGGGGGAGGTGCCAGAGAGTTTATATTCCTCAAATGCATGCAGGAGCAAAGCCGACTGTTGTAAGTAGCCTGACGGCATGTGCCAGTGACGTTCTAAAGGACAAATGATCAGAGATGAAGCTGCTGGAACAAAGGATGTGTGCAATTCACACTGTGGCCGCCTTGTTACTTGGCCTCCACACAGCTCCTGTGAGTTCTTTTTGAGAGAGTGAGAGAGAATGAGAGAGAGAGAGAGTCAGAGAGAGAGAGAGAGAGATGGGGGGAGGGAGGAGGGACTGGGAAAGAGGATTTGAAGTAGGGTCTATGCTGACAGCCGTGAGCCTGATACAGGGCTTGAACTCACAAACTCTAAGACCTGAGCTGAAGTCGGGAGCTCAACCGACCAAGCCACCCAGATGCCCTGAGCCCCTGTTGGTTCTTGAGTGAGATCTCTCCACCTTCTTCATCAGGGTGTGTCTTCTGCCCATATAGTGACACATTCATGCCCAGAATGCACTTGGCATGGTGCCAGGCCCGTAGCAGCAAGTTGGAACACACTAGCTGTTTTTGTTCATCCTCTGGGTCTCCAGGGAGCCTTTCTGGTCCCCCAGAAGCCATTGGGCGTCCCTGATGTTTCGAGCACCTGTCTCCTCCACCAGCTGGGTGTTCTGGAGATCAAGTTCTCATTCTCCCGTTGCCTGGGCTCACTCCCAGCAGCTGCTCGGTGCCTGGCTCAAATGAGGACCCAGCAAGGGTATTTTTGTGTGACGGTTGGATACAAGGAAGGTGTACCCTGTCTGTCTGTTCTTCGCTTCCCACTCAACAGGGCCAGATTGTCTCCAGATGACAATAGGCCACCACCGTAACCACACCACAGAAGCTGGTATGTCATATACCTTACAAAGACAAGGACGGGCATCGTCACATTACAGAAAAGCAAACGAAAGCTCAGAGTGGGTGGGGGATAAGGCCCACCCACAGAGTGTGACAGAGGTGACACTGAGATTAGAACCAGTGGGACTGAGCTTCCACACCAGCTCTAGCCTCGGTGCTATCCTGGCTTGAGCAGAAAGACCGTGTCCTCGCTCCGTGCTCTGTTGTGTTTGGCTGGAGGGGGTCGAGGTCCCCTGGCTCCTACCACACTTTTCTGTCTGTGCTCCATCCTTCCCAGGCTCCCGTCCATGGAGAAGCCCGTCACAGTCCTGCGCGTGAGACTGTACCACCCCACGCGGGACCCGGACACCTTTGCCAAAGTCCCGGCGAAGCTGCAGCACGACGCCAGCCCGCTGCTGGTGGGGCGGGGCCCGGACGCCCACCTCCAGCTGCAGCTGCCACGCCTCTCCCGCCGACACCTGTCACTAGAGCCGTACCGGGAGAAGGGCGACACTCTGCTGGTCTTCTGCCTGAAGGCGCTGAGCCGCAAAGGCTGCGTGTGGGTCAACGGGCTGACTCTGAGGTTCCTGGAGCAGGTTCCCCTGAGCGTGGTCAACAGGGTGGCCTTCTCCGGCATCCAGATGGTGATCCACATAGAGAGAGGCACCTCCCTGGAGGCCTTTGTCTGCTGCTTCCATCTCAGCCCCTCGCCCCTGATTCACAGGCCCCAGGCTGAAGAGACGGATGAATGGGAAGGCCAACCCCAGGGGCAGCCGCCCCCAAGTTCAGGACAGTGAGCTCCAGATCACCTGGGGCTTCTCCGCGGCCCTTCCCAGCCAAGCCTTGGAGGAGGAAGAGAAACACAGCTCCAGAAGGCGCCCTTGGACAGGATGCTTTGCTAGTCCCTCCAGCGGCCCCGAGCAAGGATTACCTGAAATAGGACTTGAACTCTCGTAGCTTCATCATGTGAGGTTCAAGCAAGACCTGCCTGGCAATAATGAACTGATTCTGCAAACGTGAACAGCCTGGGCTGGGGGAGCACCCTCCGTGGTTACAGCTATACACAGTAATGGGAACTTCATATATTTTAGAGGCCCTGAGGGCTTCTGAGAGCCTCTCTCAGCCTCTCCCCACATTTCCCCGGCCTGTCTGCCTAGGAGTTACTTTATGTTGCTAATTTCATGAGCTGCTTAAGGGCTGGAGTCTGAGGTTGCGGGAGGAATGCATGGGACACATGTACCAATTACGTTTGTCGTAGCTCGGGGTTACCTTGGGCTTTCAAATACCCACAGGCACTCAGGGCTTAGGGAAGCCTGTGTTTAATAAACTGCAAGTATTTCATTAAGCTGGCGTGCCCAGCCGGATTCCCTCATCTCCAGGCAGGGTGCGTGCGTGCCACGCAGAGGCAGGGGTGGGAAATAGAGAAGAGGTGTAAGAGGAAATTGGAAAGGTGGGGGCTCACATTTCTGGAAAGGATGTGGGCAGAGCTCGGGGTTTCCTGGGGGCAGGGAGCTGGGGGCTGGGCTTGCCGGGAAACTCACTGTCACGGTCATCCTTACACTCACTCACGCTGTTATTTCTGGATCAAAGCCTTGGCTGATTGGAGGGCAAGGTGGCTTCTCAGAGCAGGGGAAGGAGATTGTGGTAGAATGCAGCTCAACAGTTATTTTACTCAAAGTGGGTCATATACTAATGGGGGTGGGACGGTCTTTCCAATATAAGGGACTAGTAGTGACCCATTCAAGTCAAGGGTGGGACAACTTCCTCAGTGAATGGGGGGAGGGAGGGATAAGCACAAGCACTCATACTCCATGTCACCTCCATTCCAACTCCCCGGTGGGAGCTTGGAACCATCATTTAGAAACAGTGTTCATCCGTGTGATAGAGGGAGGGACCTACAACCTCGGATGGCCGTCATCCTCCTCGACCATGCTCTAGGATTTTGGGGACACTGAGGTTGGCTTGCATCCTGAGGCCTCTGGCCACCACAAACAAGCCTTTCAACACTGTCTACTACCCACCCAAGAAGAAAAACTCTTTTGCACACAAGGCAGGCTACAAGGAGGTTCAGCTGGTCTGCCGGCCCCTCCCTGAGCATCCTCTCCAGTGGGCAGGAACCAGGCCTGTCCTGGCTTGGGAAGCTTCCCTTCTAATAGGTCAATAAGTCAAGTACACTCAGATTATAGCACAAGGCAGAGGAGGGCAAGGACTGTGAGGAGAAGGGGCTGTCCAATGCTGTGAATGGCTCCCGGGGGCCCCCAAAACAGTCCTTCACTCAGTCACTCAACCAACTTTCACCAGATGCTAGGCAAAGCCCCAGGAACGTGCAGTGACCTAGGCAGACAAAGTCCCTGCCCCCAGAGAGCTTATGGGAGCTTGTTAAAGACACCTGTTGAGGAACTAATCACGAATTATTTGATCACCACTGTTCTCGATGCTGTAAACATTGCATTTTCTCTTTCCTCAAGCTGGTGTTAACATTAGCTCTACTGTTAAGTGGCCGTATCTGACGAGTGCTTACTGTGTGCTCAGCACTCTGCCAGGAGCTGTGTGCTTTGCCCAGCTGACTCCTCAAAACACCCAGACAGACAGTGGTCTTAACACATTGTACACCTGGGGAAATTGAGGCTTAGAAAGGGTCTCTTGCCTGACATCGTGTCACTTACTCACTGTGTGATGTCGGGCGAGGGATTTAGCCCTGCTCTCATCTCCATTTCTCCCTCCGGAAAGTGGGTAAGAGAATAGTACCCATCTGCTAGTGATGTTATGATGGCCTGAGGAGCTCAGAGTGAAGCATCCATCACATAGCAGACATTCAGTAAGGGTTAGATGGCACCATGAGACCTGACAGAGGGAACGTGACAGGTCCGTGCCCAAGGGCTCGCCTGGGATGTCTGTGTGGAGCCAGAGAAGGTTGGAAGCCTGGTGGGCTGAGCGCAGAGCCCAGGAGCTCACCTTGCACCCTGTGACTTCCTGATAAAGGATTTTGTCTTTGCTGAAGCCCTGGTGGGAAGGCAGGAGGGGGCTGTAATCTGCTCCTTGCACCGGAAGGCCCGGTACTCACAGTTCATAGGATGGGAGACAGTGTCGGGGCTGGCGAGCAGAAGAAGCCATGCACTGGGTGGTCTGATGAAGCCCACTGGTTTGGAGCTGCCTTTATATTTCACACACAGATTCTAAATGCAGCAATGATCCCTCCAGAGACCAAAACGCTCCCCAAACTGTGCATTAGGGAGCAGCAGTGCACATACAGAACTGGGAAGCCACAACCTGGAGTTCACACCTGCCCTTCAAGGGCGGAAAAGAGGAAGCTGGCTGGTGGCATGCTACCCTGGAGTCCTGTGGGGGGGGGGGGCAGCTCCTCTGCTCCAGCAGGGAACAGAAGGGGTCCCCTCCCTTCCAGGAAGAAGCAAACCTAGCAGCTGGGGTTCCAGGAGAGGAAACGAGCTACCTCCCCCATGAGGACTGGGAGATTCAGAGGGAAGAGTCTGGGAGTCCCTCCGGGACCCAGGAGGAAGTGTAGGGCAGGCTGAAGGATGCCTGCCAGAGGCCAGGCAGGAAGGGGGCCCAGACATTTCCGGCTTATTCTTTCAGACTCTGCGGATTCACAAGCTCTCCCTGGAAATAAGAAACTCACCGCTCACCTCGTACCAGGTTTCAGGGCAGCAACGCTCTCCTCCATGCTAGAGTCCATTGTTCTTGACTAGAGAACCATTTAAATCATGGGGTCCCTGCACCCACCCGCATTTTCACACATGGCCTGCACAGGTAGCCTGGGCAGGTGGCAGAGACCCTTCCAGCAACATCCTCTGCATTCCCTCAGCTCCCACACACAGGGCAGTGCGGCTAGGCGAGGGGGTGCGTGTGCACGCACACACTGACACAGGCCGCTCGTGTCCGCTGTGGCGGCTCCAAGCTGGGGCTCTGTAATCGGGGGCTGCCCGGGTTGGAATTCCTGCTCTGCCGCTTACTAGCTCTGTGACCTTGCCCAATGGAGTGAATTTCCCTGTTCCTCCGTTTCTTTTTCCGGAAATGGGAAAGGGGACGGCCAGCTGTGGGAGTAAAATGAAGCGGCACATATAAAGCACACCTACTATGTGTGGTGCTTGGCACATAGTAGGTACTCAGTAGATTAAGCTTTCACTGTCCAATTTAGGGGAATGGATTGAAAGCAGGTAGACAGGTAGACTCAGCTCACACTCACATAAGTACGTCTGCTACAAAGACCTACATCAGTTACATCCGGGCACGCCCCCGGAGGGAACTGCAGTCCTCTGAAGCCGTGTCTGGAAATCCAGGAATCATCCCCTGTGCCCTTTAAGGCACTTTAACCCTCACATTCTCTGCTGTTCCAAGAATGGGAGTCTCCCTCAACCTGTGTGCAAGTGGGACACTGCCTCCCAGCGAGCCTCATGTCCAGGGAGACCTGAGAATGCCCCATAACGGTGTAGGGCTCTGAGGCGTGAGCAAGCACCGTGAGCAAGTGATGGCAGACGCGTGGGGCGGCACGCTGTGGCGTGCAGCAAGGGAGGCACCGGAGTCCCACACCGACATCCCAAAGCGGTCGCCATAGTTTCTGTGTCTGTCTCCCCGTGAGACTTCAGGCTCCACGCAGATGAGGACCACAGGTTTGCTGTTGTGTTCCTGGTGGCCGCCAGGGAGCTGGCTGAATGGGCGGACAGACAGATGGGCAAGGTGAGCGTGCTAAGGCAGGAGCGAGGCAGGCGAGGGCACGGCCGAGGCTTGTAGTGGCTGGAGGAGAGATGGGCCGGCCAACTGGGGCAGCAGGGCCTCGAAGGCAGACACTAAGTCTCTTCCTGCTCTAGGCCTCAGTGAAGAGAGCCCAGATCTGAGCTAGGGCAGAACACAGGGGGTGCTTCTCCTGGGTGCTCGAGCCTCCGCAGCCCAAACCAGCCAGGATGCTGCATTTTTGGAGTTCTGTGAGATGACTCCTGGGGAAGGTCGGCTGCTGTGACAGGTCCCCATGTCACTGAGAAGTAGCTCTCAGCCAGCACTTCCTAGGGGCACGTAGGTGCCCCCAGGAGACCCTAGGAGGGGCTCCAGTCACTAGGAGTGGCGAGTTGGGTGGAAATGAAGTCTGCACCTGCAGCCCACATCTCCTTAGGATCTGGTGTGACCCCTCTGCTGTACTCCCATATGACGGAGGCCACTGTCCATAGAACCTCCTCCCCCAGACACACGCTGAGAATGTACTGCCTCCCTAAACCGACACCCCACCTGCACAGAACAGGGCTGTCCCTTGAAGAGATTCCCTGTGGCTTGGGAAGCTAAGATATCCCACTGCTGAAGGCATCTGTGTTTTCAAAGAAAAGGTTGGAGAGGGTAACGTTTACTCTCAAAGAGTGAGTTTCATTGTAGAATGAGCAGTATTAAAGGTTTCACCATAGGCTGGGGGCGCCTGGGTGACTCAGTCAATTAAGTGTCTGACTCTTGATTTCCACTCAGGTCATGGTCTCGTGGTTCGTGAGTTCCAGCCCCACATTGGATTCTGTGCTGACAGCATGGAGCGTGGAGCCTGCTTGGGATTCTCTGTCTCTGTCTCTGTCTCTCTCCTCTCCCCCCCCCACTCCTACCCTACTCATGTGCTCTCTCTCTCTCTCTCTCAAAATAAATAAGTAAACTTAAAGAAAAAGCCTTCACAAGTAAGCCAATAAAGGAAATATGTCCCTTTCATGTTCCCCTCGAATGGATAATCACTTCATAAATGTATAAAGCAAGACATAGTCAAGTGGCTGCTTCAAGGCCTCCCTGTGCCTGAGTGGAGCTGAGATGGGATTCTAACAGAGCTAAGAACGGAGTCTTTGTCTAACAACCCACTGAGTGGCTAGGCTGCTGTCAGCAAAAACGTGTGTGGAAGCAAGTAAGCCCCATGCAGTGTGGATGGTTCATCACCACCTCCAGGACCTTCCCCCAATCCCCCACTGGGCTGTGGAGGGGAGACCCATCTCCCACCCTATCTACTGCGTGAGCTCATCTCTCCCTCCTCAGTTTCCACCCCATGGCACCTGGTGGTGCTGATGCTGCCATCCGGTTAGCTGGTCCCCAAACCGGACCCTCCAGCTTTCTGTCACCATGGCTGCCCTGCCCACATCCCGCTGCTCTGATCGGTGGCCGGCACACGAGGCCCCAGCCTGAGCAGGGCTTCTGGGAGGGGAGGAGACAGACCCAGCTCCTCCTCCTCTCAGTGGAGATGCCAAGTTAATGAACTCTATTCACATTGCAGGGCTGTGATCCCTCTTACCTTGAACGTGAACTCACAGGCGGATTAAAGTGAAATAAAACCTACCATTTGAGTTACATTCTCAG